CCAAAAGAGTCTTCTGTTGCGGGCCGTTCCTCCACTCAAAGTGGACCCAAAAGCTCATGGAGATCATCACCGCTTTGTTCTCGACTGGAAAAAGAGATGTCACTTTAATCGGAGACATCTTCTTTCCTGCAGCCATTACATTTGTTCCGTGAAGCTGCTTCTTTGGTCATCTATCCCCCCCCTTCCCGGCTTTGTGCCTTTACAAGATCCTGATCGGATAAAAGTGTCTGCTAAATGCATAAACATAAACATAGATCCGCTGGACCAAAGGCCAAAGGTGATGATGCCTGGCAACCAACAGAAGATTCTTTTCAGACCCTGTTCTATCACCTCTACCTTCCCAAAACCTTCCTACCTACCTACCTACCTACCTACCATCCCCCCCCCCCCTCTACTTCTGGCCTGTGCACGGGTTTGAAGCGCTGCTGAGACTAACATGCCCCCCCCCCCCCCCCCTCCCCTTGGTGTTTGCATGCAGTCATTGCATCCAGCAGATCCTGGAGGCGGTGCTTCACTGCCATCAAATGGGCGTGGTGCACCGGGACCTGAAGGTGAGTGGCCCGGGTCTGCCTGGCTGACCCTATCAAACCTCTAAAAAGCGATTGGTGTCACGGGGAGTTTCGTGCTTGCGCTGTGTGTGTAGTCTGTCCCTGTCTGGTCAGTTCAGAAGAGCCTGTCTGGCCATATCTGCGAATGCATTTCCACTTGCACAACCTCCCAAAAAAAAAAAACAGAATCCCTCCATGTTCTGCTTTAAATAGTTTCCCAGGATTTCAAGGTGTGGGCCGCCGGCAGTCGTATTTTTATTCAAGCCAGAGCTTCTGCTGGAGTCCGAGTATTTTTTTTTTATATGGCTCTCCTCTTCTTTACGGAGGATTCTCTCCTAGTTTAAACGTAATTCCCCCCGGGTGAACCCAGACAGGACCCATGTTCCTGCTCCTGCCTTTCCACGGCAGGATGTGTGTCCCTGCACAGATAGACTGTGTAAACTCACCCGAGGGGATACCCAATCTGAGAGAAGATGCTAAATATCGATCACCAGACTCTGTGCATGTATTTTTTTTTTTGCCTTTATAGATCAGTTAAAGACGTAAAGAGACATTGATCGACTGGTGATGCTGTGAGATTAGTTTTTTACACGTGCTGACTGCTTAGATCCAGAAGCCGGCTGCTATTTTTGGAAGTGTATTTTCTAGAGATCGATGTGTTTTTTTATTGTCCACGCTCCCCTCGGTACTCTCTCGGGGGGAGCTTTGCCGAGTGCCCACCGGTCTCCTGCTGGTGTTCCCTGTATCTGTTGGAGTTTCTCTGCTTGTGCATGACTCGACGTGGACGTGGCTCGTCTGCTTTGCATGATGCACTTGGTGGAATGGCCCTCTATGCAAATGTCAGTCCCCCGCGTTCCAGCGCAGGCGTGCTGTGTTTATCAGAACTGTTGTGGCGAGTTCTTTATTTAGCCGGCATGCCTATCTGGTTTCACACCCGAGCGCCGGAGAGCGTTTCGCGGAATAGGTCATAGTGCGATGACTGAGGATAGCCCGGGCGACAGGATCCCTCCCATTAGGAGCCGGTGGAACCCTGCAGAAGGCTTAGAACCCGCTTACTTTTACCAGATAAGACTGAGGATTCTGTCTGAGGCTGCACGCCGAAAACAAATAACGTTGAACGGCGTCCACCAATAGGTGAAATCAAAAGCTGGGATAGTTTTCTGCAGCTCTAATCTTCTTCAAATCTGCTTAAAACGGAGCTCTTTCCTCACGGCAGGACCACCCGCCTGCCTCTCTCTCTGTGAAGAATCTCCAGATGCTCCGCAGACAAAAGAAATAGGAGGGAAAGGAGAAATCTGGGACTGGGAACAGTTTAATTTCAGACACCCACTCGTGACTAGGGATGGGGATCGAAACCCGGTTCTATCAAGGACCCGGTTCCATTTTTTCAAAACCCGAAAATCAATAACGTTTGGGCTTATCGATACCACTATCGAATCTGGTCGTTTTTTTTTATTATCACAATAGTAATTGTGAAATCCGTGTTGCAATCGGCAGCATACAAGCTAGTTAGCTTGAAAAGTAAATAAAGTTTCAGACGTGTGTTCAGATTGGCTCAGTAAAACGACAATTAGGTTATCATGATGCGTTCAAGTGTAACGTAAAGAAAAGGCAAATTTAGTTTTTGTCGAGAAACATGAGTAATACAGTTGTATATTGCTCTAATTATTTTAGAATATATAATTAAACTACTGATGCCAACATTTATTAAAAATTACATTTAATTTAAAATACAATAATTTATTTGCTAAATATTGTTGCATCGTCTTTCCAACAAATAACAGAAAAGTATCGATAGTGGTATCGATAAAGACTCGGATCGATAAGGAGTATCAATAAAAGTATCGATATCAATAAATATTAACGATCCCCATCCCCACTCGTGACCCGTTCCCTGACACAACCCTTTCTGTCATCTGCCCCCCCGATTCCCCTCAGCCCCCCTCAAACAATCCAGGCTCTGGGCATCAGAACGCCAAAAAGGTGGCAAAGGAAGGCGTGCTTGTGCCGACTGTCGCCTTTCCGGGTCGCATTGTGTCACCTCTGTGTGTCGTTTTTGACGAATTCCACCCACATTCGTTATTTTTAGGGATTATCTCGCCGCGGCAGCGCTGGCAAGTTCTTTCTCCCCGCTTTTACAGAAGAGAAAAGATTTACCAAGCGTTAGAGAGTGTGATGGTGACACGAGGCAGGATTACCGGTTCAGTGGCTGAGTCTTGTGTTTCTCTCTCTTGCTTCTGATTTCAAAGCACACCTTTAAGCATCCGCGCTGTAAGAGCACGGTTTGAATTTAGGAAAGCAGAGGATCCAGACAGATGCTGCCGCTCTGCTGGAGAGGCTGTCACAAGAAAGCAATCTAAATATAATGTCCTCCTTCTCCCTTTTGTCACAGCCTGAGCTCATTAACTCTTCAGTGGGACCGGCCTCACCTGCCCATCCGATCAACAAAAGGGCCATAAAGAGACATCTAAATGGTTCCTCAGTATCTCGTCTTCAGGGCATAGAAACTATTCTCCAAGTTATAATGCAAGGTTCTGACATGTGTCTACGACGCCTGGGCCAAAGTGGAGACATTCACAAAGTGCACAACTCCAATCTGACGTGTATCTACAGTTTCATTAGCTAGCCCGATGGCTATCCGGCCTCAGAAACATGTTTGACACGTTTGTGCATTCATATTTAATGTCTTCTCCTAATCGCCTCCCACCAGGACTCTCTTTTGTCTGTCAGAAAAAGCCAGTCGCCGTAATGGACGCAGAGGTTCGGCGTGGCCGAGGGAAATGTAATGAGAGACGGTGACAGAGAGAGAGAGAGAGAGAGAGAGAGAGCAGGGACCGGTGGGGATAGCGGACCATTATTAGAGCCCTCCTCTGACAGAGAAGAATGAGGCTAGCTGCGTTATCTGGGCCACAGAGATGGAGCCTACAGAGTCAGCGCTCATCACAGGAGACTCAGACAGGAAGTCGCTGCTGAAACGTGGGCTAACTTTTGTCACACAGCGTTTACGCGTCTGTGCATGTCGTTGGACTATTACGTGCTGTTTGCATTCGAACGAGCCACAAAAGTTCTGTTTGAACCCCAGCGCCAGCGTCAGCATGCACAGATTCTGACTCCCCCGTTTATTCCTCCTCCAGGACTGCCCTCGAGTCTCTAAATGTTTGATCACCCTTTTCCTTTCGCCTCCTCTTCTCCTCTCCAGCCAGAGAACCTGCTGCTTGCAAGCAAGTGTAAGAACGCCGCCGTGAAGCTGGCGGACTTTGGGCTGGCCATCGAGGTGCAGGGGGATCAGCAGGCCTGGTTTGGTTGGTACAACAGATACATATACACACATACAGAACAGATTTTTGCTCCCAACTGCACACTGTTGTGTATAGAGGGGCCACCCCTATGTTTTCATGCAAAGCCAAAAAAAAAAACAGCACATACAGGCTTTTTTGGGTGGTTTTTAAACATGTGGAAGCATAAATAAAGTTGGGTTTTTTTGTGCAAAAAGCTGAATACAGCCTGGGCCTTCTCAGATTGCTGTCCTTTCTTTAAGTCCACTTCAAGTAGGAATAGTTCTCCAGGCTTTTTGAGGGACATCCCAAAACTCTTTGAATGTTGGCTGCCTTTCGTTATATTTTCTATCAGATTATCTCACACCGTTTCTCTACTGATAAGCTCCAGGCTCTGGAGAGCTGGTTTTTGTTCCACCTTTGTGTCATTTTGGCATAGCCCGACCCTTTTCTCCCTTCGTGTATTAAATTATGGAAGGAGGCTATTTCTGATGAGGCTTCAGTGAATCCTATCCTATGTCCTTTATGGATTTTTTCCCCTTTTCCTTAATTCCATCATTTTCAGTTACTGCTTTTTATCTCGTCTTGACCAATTTCGCTGATGCCTCCTTTTAGTTTGGAGCCTTTTTCTACCTGAATGATTCATAAAAACGTTGTGAAATGGATAAAGAAAAAGCATTACGTTGAATTTGGTCCTGTACAAGGCTGAAAATGAAAACTTGACCAAATATAAAGACACACTTTTCAAAGAGCTTCATGAAGTCGGGAGACATGTTGCTGAATAAGATGCCCCAATACCTTTGCACAGTAACACCATACAGCACTACAACAATGAAGCCTTATTCGGTTTACAGCTCAGCCTGTGACCTCAGGAGAGAGATCAGTGCAGGCGTGTGTGTGTGTGTGTGTGTTATCTTCAGAGACGGAGATTTGCCTCTTCTTCACAATATCTGACCTCAAACCCTCAAGATTTGAGTCCGCTTTTAGGCCCGACACTTCGAGGCTTATGGAAGATTATGTTTCGGATAGCGGCAACGCAATCTGCCACCGCCCGCACGTCAATCAATCGTGTGTGTGTGTGCGTGTGTGTGTGCGTGTGTGTGTGTGCGTGTGTGTGTGCAGGATTTGCTGGCACGCCGGGGTACCTGTCCCCCGAGGTCCTGAGGAAGGAGGCATATGGCAAACCTGTGGACATCTGGGCCTGCGGTGAGACACACACGCTGTCCGCACATATGCTTCGTCCTGGTCGATTTCACAGCCGAAAACACACACACACACTCACACACACTCACACACACACACGCAAACACAAACACGGCGAATCATCTCCTCTGCGGGTGTGCTTTTGTGCGTCTCAGGGGTGATCCTCTACATCCTGCTGGTGGGTTACCCTCCTTTCTGGGACGAGGACCAGCACAAGCTGTACCAGCAGATCAAGGCTGGGGCTTATGATGTGAGTCTCCTTTCAGCTCCTCTCTCATTTCACACCCCCCCCCTCCACTGCCCCCCCGCTCTAATGCCCTCCCCTCTCCTCCCACTGCCCTCGATCCTATTTGGCGGCCGTTACGTAACCTGGCCACCTCATTCATATTTCGGGGGGCGGAGGGGAGGCAGCCTCACCTTAGATCACATTCAAGCTCTCGCCAAATAAAGAGAGACCCCGGCTGGCTCTGTGCCAGGGACTCCGCAGAGCTCAAGGGCTTCTGCCCTGAACACCGCAGCGTCCCACGGGGTTGGGAATTTCGTAACAAATTGCCGAGGGCAGCGCTTGGACCGGCCTTTTGGTGTGGTTTACCCACAGGGAGCCTCTGTGGCCGACATGAACTCAGGCCTAGCTGTTAATCCCATTTTAAACTGGGCGGGATATCAGTCCAAAGCAGTTAAAAAAACACAGTTAAACAATATAACAAAACAATCTGAGTCTTTGGCCTGCGCTGTATTTAAAAAAAATACTCTCTACTTTGACAAAATCTTTTTAAAAAGGCATGATTACAAAATGTAAGGAGAAATCATGTAATTGTAGAATTAAAAAAACTCAGCTTATGAGTAGATACTTGTCCAGTTTAAGGACTGACTACAGAAAACTACAGAAAGGTCTTCAGACTCTCATAGGTCTAAATGTTGCCTTTTAAATTGTTTGGGGGATAATATTTTAACTGCGGTCCATAGTATTTATTTAAATCAGTGTGCCAGAGATCCATAGATGCAATCACATCTCTTCATTCATCTTTGAGTTAACCCTCACTTTTACTATTTGATGGACACTGTGGAGAAGGTGGATGTTTTTAGATTCAGCCTTCCTGGGTGTTGATGGTAGCTGAGTCAAATAGTTTTTCTTTTTTTTTTTTGTGACCGTTAGCCCAGCTGGAGATTTTCCTCCACTGAGCAAACGCTGAACTATTTCCTGTCTCTTCATTATACTGGAAAGTGTGAACAGGTCTTGTTACGGTTTGTTACGGTTTGTTCCTCCAGTTCCCGTCCCCAGAGTGGGACACAGTCACCCCGGAGGCCAAAAACCTCATCAACCAGATGCTCACCATCAACCCAGCCAAGAGGATCACGGCTCAGGAGGCCCTGAAGCACCCGTGGGTCTGCGTAAGTGTCCTCTCTGGAGCACAAACAGGAACACACAACGGAGGCAAACAAGTGGCTGCATCAAATCAAACATGAACATGTAAAATAGGGGATTTCTCCACGTGTTTGGCCTGTGTTTCACCTCTTCTTCGTCTCCTGCTTTTGTCCCCCCCCCCTCTTAACAGCAACGGTCCACAGTGGCATCTATGATGCACCGACAGGAGACCGTGGAGTGCCTGAAGAAATTCAACGCCAGGAGGAAACTCAAGGTCTGTTTGCATGCTTTTCCCTCTCACACGTCTTCCCTTCTGCTCTAATAAGCTCCTGTGTGGGATGAAATGATGAGACGGTTCCTTCTACTCTAGCGCTCTCCTTATGGCCATTCTTCTGCCTTTGCCTTATTTCACGCGCTGTAAAATGAGCCAGACCCGATTCTGGCACGGCTAGCGTTTGACCGTTTTGTTAATGTACAGCTCGGTAACCATCCAAATGGCTGTAGGTGTGAGATAAGCTGATAAATGCTTATGACACTGCACCTCATGGGCAGAGACGTGGAGCTAAGCCCGTCTGGTGTGAGGACTATCAGATTTATCTGGATGTAACAGCTCCACTTCTGGAGCGTGGCACTCTTAGCCCCGCCGCTTTCAGACACTCTCGGCGTGCCTTAAATACCCGCACACGAGAAGCTGGACACGGAAATGCAGGTGGCCGCGGGCGAATTTTGCACCATTCGGCTCACATACCGTCAGCCTACTGACCGCCAGCGGCTTTTCACACTCGAAGAAAGAAGTGACACGGGTCGGGTTAGACGTCCAGCCCATTAATCCAAAGCCGACTGAGTTTTTATTAGGCTTTCCAAAAGACACTGACTAGAGGGAATTCATGGACAAAGAAGCTGAAATTGGCCAAATTCAAAACAAGTGTGTCATTTGACTTAGATCATGTTAAAAACTACCAAGGCAGATTTTCACACAATGTCTTTAAATCATTTTGTGGAGAGTTCAGTTTAAGTTTAAGTCTAAGCTTACTGAGGGGATGCTGCTTTCTATCTATTCCCATATTTCGTATTCCATCATCCACCACAGCGATTGCATTCTTCCATGAACAAACCTGGTTTGTAAAGTCAGAATTAAGGAGGCACCACTTGTTTTCTCCCCCCCCCGAAATTTTGATGGATGTTTCAATTTAACATTTTTATTTCTTTGGGCGCAGCAGAGTCTCTCGATGCGTCTGGTTTTGAAAAATTCATCATCCATCAATCAAACAGCACCGGTGGAAGGCTTTCTTTTTGTTTTCTAAACATTTATAATAATGGAGTTCCACCTGCTGTGAGCCAGGGCTTTTATTTCCCCAAAGAAGTTTGGTTTTGATTTAGAAACTTGAATGTTAGTTGAATCATAAGTAGGAACAATAGAGGATCATGTCCGTAAAAGTCTGTAATGCTCTGAATAGTCATGCTTCTTTTTTTTTTTTGCTTTCTCTCTTCGCAGGGGGCCATTCTTACCACCATGCTGGTTTCCCGAAATTTCTCAGGTAAGCGTGTGTTTCACAGACACTTTTGTTGAATCCTCTGTTGGTATCTCTGCCATTCATTTCTGTGAGCTAGAATCAGTTATATACAGAGGTCAAGAGGTAAAAATGTTATCTGATTTAGAGTGAGCCTGTTACATGGTGGACTAAAGGATGCTGTTCTTAAAACATTGATTTTTTGTGGGCCTTTTTAAGTCTCAAAGACCCGGGATAATCAGTTTGGATATCCACCCAAAGCCCCGACATGCTCCCCGTAACCTCGAACTCTGGGGCAGATACGTTTTACTTCTTCGACCGAAGAG